GGGGGGGGGGGGGGGGGGGGGGGGGGGGGGGGGGGGGGGGGGGGGCAGACGGACGAGACGGCGCTGCGGACGCAGGGATACGGTCAGGCACTTGCGTTTCTGCGTCCGAACAGCAGTGCGAGATATAAATTGCGTTCGGCGAAAAAGGCGGGTTCGGTACGGGTGTTGCACACCACTGCCACGGGCATCTTGGTGGGATCCGCGCTGGCTGAATAGAAAATTAAATTGTTGGCCGAGAGAGGATGCTTGCCCCTAAGCTCGCCAAAACCGCGGCAGCTAAACACCAACACGACAATCATCAACGAGGGAAGAACCACCACCCGCGCGACGAAAAACGTAAAGCCCTAAAAAACAGAATGGTGCCCGAAACTCACGTCGGAAGTAGCGGTAACCGTGGTCTTCGAACGCTCCATGTCATCCTTGTGGACCCTCATGCCCATCACGTCCGAAACCAGCGACCTGGTCACCTTCCCGATGACGTGGTCTTGCCGCATGAAGTGGAGGAATGCCTCCTTCACGATCTTGCGGGTGGACCGGCCGTCGCCGCCTCCGTACACGGAGCTCCCGTTCTCCAGGATGATGTTGTCGAGGTAGACAAAGTCCGAGCTGTTGATGGTGTTCCTCCTCACCACATCGGGAGTGACGTCAACGGGTGCCTCCGCGTCCTGCAGGATGAAGATCGTCCGTCGTCGCGGCGGTGTATGGGGGGAGGGTGCCGAGATATCCATCAACGGGGAGTCGTGTTATCGGTCGAGTGCACACGATCCTACTACAATGCATTTCGGTACCTTCGCGAAAAATTTATAGACTGTCTAATGAAGTAGACAGGGGGGGGGTGTACTCATAGTCGTGGATGCCGTAGTCGTTAGACCATTGACCTCGCATCCCTACAAAGCCGGGACGGAGCACGCCGGGTTCTCACCGGACCAGGCTCTCACATCACCAAGCGCGAAGCGCCGTGAGATATTCGGCGAGTCGCATGAAGGGTGCGCTGCATCCTGCTAAGGGTGTTCGGCATCTTGTGCTTACTTCCTTGCGTACGGATGACAGCTGCGTATGAATTAATTTATTTTCTGGTGCTTTCACTTCCAGAGACAGTTGTAAGCACTGTGTAACTGCCTCGAGGGTGCTTGACCATTTTAACACAACGTGGTGCGATCATCCCCCTTGCGCGGAGTGAGGGTTCTCCACGCCGCACAACGTGACCTACTCGACCACCATTATGGTTACCGCCAAAAAAAAAATGGTAACCTGGTTGCCGAGTTCACGAAGTGAATTGGCTTG